ACCGTTTTACGAAGATAGCACTATAATAGCATCTATTAATCAAAATAACGATTCAATTTAACCTCCGGAAGCGATGAATGGTTACGTTGTAAGTGTTTCTCGCAAGTGCAATTCATTCAGGGCGGCGCGTACGGGCACCTTTTTTTTCATGCATCCATTAGAGCACGAACCCGCCCTCGTCCTTCGCAAAAGCCCTTCCAATAAATTATGGTCGAACGACAGCAGTCGATGGATTCCCACCGCAAATTGACAAAAAAAACTTGCTGCAGTAGGGAAAAATATGGGAACGGCATCTGGATGCAAATACACGAACGCCATACATCACAGACTTAGCGTCGGTGGAGACTTTACGTCCATCCAGCGCGGTGGGGTCGTGGGGTCAAGAGGGCACACCATGAATGGTGCCACCACTGAACTTCGGGGGTCAGCTTCAAAATGGCGAGGTTACCGCTAATCCAACGACGAACCGTATTATGCCATTGTCACAACCTGCTGTTACATTGGTTTTCGAGCTGTTCATTAATCTATAACCGCAGATTAATTAAAAAGCAAATTTTTATCACCAATTCATTTTAGAACGTGAACCATCCTAGATTTAATAAGCTTCTACATGTAAATCCCCATGAAATATATTATTTCTCACCATCTAATACCTCTTTGTGATATCCGACAAACATTAATTATACAAAGCACTACATTGCGTTCCGCACGTAAATACCTTATTTAACAAGGGTTGGGTTAAACCCTTATGTCTTAGTAGCCGTAAGAGGCTGTTCGGTAATATTATAATTTACAAGCCAGAAATTGCATAATTTCTAAAACGTCATTTCAATCGATCGTTGTTGACCCAAAGAAATTATATGACATAAAATTATTAATGATTACATTACAAAAAGTTCCCATTACTTAAATTACTTCGTTTACTGCAATTATGGGAATCATAAAAGTTAAATCATTGTAAATGACTCAATATGTCAGTAACAAGTTTTGATGCAATTGGGTTGGAATGAGTTAGGGTTGGGTTGGCTTGGGTTATATCCAGCTTTTACTCTTTCCATATCCAACGGGAAGAGGTCTTCGCCAAGGAAGAAGTGGAGGAGGTCAAAAGGAAAAGTGGAGAGGTAGGTGGAGGAGAGACACCAGGAAGAGAAAATGGACCAAGAAGAGTGCATCTCAAAGAACTCTCGATTCATGGTTGTTTTAAGGCGTATTTATACAACCATAAGAGAGTAGAAGGTGAAAGGTGGACGAGATGGACCAGAGAAAGGAAGCTTGTCAAAATCAGGATGAGACAAAGGAAAACAGCATAGCGATGATGTCTGGTAGCCGAGAGGGATGGTCCATCACGGAAACATGATTGTGGAAGATCAAACAAGAAAGGAGATACTCTGACGAAAATCCGTGCTTCCGAAGGAGAGGAGGAAGAGTTTTCGTCGGTCGGCAACCCAAGAAGGAAGTCAGTGCGATTCTATCCGGCAACATGACAACTTAGACGGGTGTCTGTTATTATATAGAGGAGGAGTGAAGGTTGAAATAATGGCTAGGGGGTTGCAAATACCTACTACTTTGGGGTTTGTTGGGTTGGGGTGTATTGTGTTGGGTTGGGTTGGGCTAAATTATCCAGGTTTTCATGTCCATCGAGAAAAGCTCTTGCTACTCTGATTTTTAAACGTGAAGGACATCCTGTGAATGCTTTGTATTCTGAACCTCCAAATTTATTCCTAATATTATTAGGCATATTTAATTTTCACAACGACCACATCTTGGAATATACTTTAGTTGAGCTTTTAAATTTAAAACTAATTCTTCAATTCGACCAAAACATCAAAAGATTGGTGTTATCTTCTTGTAAGTAACCTTAAGTGAGTATACTTAAATCGATTTTGCAAAGTGAGCAAAGTACGAGGATAGAAAAACTTAAACAGCTTTGTGATTTAAGATATTGATTTGAGAAAGTAAAGCAATTCTATAACTTGGTATTAGGTAACCATGTTGATGGATGCTATGTTTGATCATAATGAGTAGGAACAATGTTGTCAGGTTGCTTCTAGAAGTGTCGAAGCCTAATAAAGTTCAATCTGCTCGGAACTTGAGTTGGGTTGAGTCTTTCTGATCTTTATTCCAATGATTCCAACCCTTTCAAACTGAGATTATAAAATATCTGAAAGGCATTGAAGGGACTCTCCAATATTAATATTTCATTGCAGCGTTAATTTTACATGAATCTAATGAATTTGGAGGCATAAAAATGATATTAATAAATGAAAATATTCGCTATTGATCACACGATAACCTCATAATAGCTGATTATACAATCGGTTCATAAACATTTTATTTTTATTTATTTAAACAAGCAGATTTAAATTGATATAATCAACCTTGTATTTGAATATTTCGGTTTTAAACTTTATTAATTTTGAGTTATACACAGAACAATGACCTTACAAATTAAGCTAGTTCGTATTTAATCCAGTCACGTATTGTGTTTGTACGCGAACCCTTAGCGTATACAGAATATAACATGTCGAATGGCGTAAATTGGTAGTTCCACGACGCGTCAGTCCGTCGAACAAGTAATTTAAATCGTCGCTAATATAATTTCAAAGCTTTTTGGTATGATTGTTACTTCCAGTTTAGTATTAGGTTATTTGGGTACCCTAAAACATTTGATTTGTCAAACTAGACTGTGTTGAAATATCATTTAGATTCCTTTCAGTGAGATTATTTGTAAAATATTACCGATTTATGGCCGAATTTGAATCCAATCTTCTTTTCTTTTAATTTACGAGAATGGTTGAGCTTAGATCCTTGTAAAAGTACTGTCATACATAAAGTTAGTAAATGAGCTTGACGATGGTACGCTTTTACACGTTCGGCCACCCAAAGGGTTTATATGTGTGAATTGTTAGCACTTGCCCGACCTATTTTTCTTGGCACGGCGGCCATAAAATTAATTAGGGCCGTGACCTTTCACTCGCCCCTCGGTAGCAATTCCAAAATGGGGAAGTGAAGACAAAGAAAAAAAGAAAGAAATGAGAGAAACGGTTTCAATGATACCGGAATTGTTTCCTTTCTTTCTAACCTGTGTCTTAAATTATCTTTCCCTGGAAGTTTTTTTTGTTTTCCCAATTGGGTTAAAAAATAAAGGTAATGTTTGAGTAAGAAAGAATACTAAAATCAAGTTTTTCCTTTCTTTTTCAGGGTAGTACTTACTACCAGATTTACTACATAAATCCTTTCGCCAACAGTGGTAAGTTAGAACTGTGAATTTTTTATGCATGTTCGTGAATAATGTAGCCGCCCCCCAAATTTGTAGTCCTATGCGAAATAGGGTCGCTACCCTCACATATACACGGTAGGATGATATTATTCAAATGATTCTACGCTTCAGGTATTTTAAATAAAATTTTGGTCGCAACGTTTTACATAAATAACATTTTTAACCCACATTTTTAAAATTCTATATTTTTTTACATATTAAAAGCTAATCTACTTTCTTACTAAAAATTTTTGCTATAAACTTTGAAACTTAGGAGTAATCCTCGAGTATAAATCAACCAATTCCAATAATTCACATAGAGTCTACACAGTACGGCCCCTTAATACGGCTAAAAGCGTTTCCAATAAATTACAATAGATCGAAATGACGACTGAAATCTATTGAAACTGCTGCGCTTTTCAGTTTCTATTGACATTTCTAGAGTTTCTCCGGGTCTTTTCATTTATTTTAGTTTTCTACGCGAACATGTTTTCATTGAAACCATTTAAATACGTTTTTATCGTAATGGTACTTAGAATTGTAAAGGAGAAAAGAAGATTTCAGGCTAAACGTAAGTAAACTAACAAGTCACGTCGTTAAAAAAATTACGCTCAAATTTGAAAAGATTTATTCATGTAAATGAAAAAACAAATAATCATGACTTAAACGGATATTGAACTCGGTTGTTGTACTAAAACGTTTCATAAAAAAAATATTTTCTTTTAAAAGTATCTTTCTTAATCCCATAATCTCTGATCTTCGATATTACTCCCACTTGAGAATAATGTTACAGAAAATCCGCTGCAGCATCACTTTTTTAGCTTTTTAACTACTTTTACACAACTTCCGGTCGATACGGTCTAACTTGTACTTTAGAGACGAGGAAATCTAATTGAACAACACAATTCCCCTTCGGTCGAGGGTGCATTTTAAGCAGCACACAACGGCAGAGGAAAAGTTTGTGCGAGCGCTTCCGCTTCGAGTAACTATTTCATATTGAAATCGCTTTCGAGAAAATATTTAAATGCAAAATGGAATTTTCCAAATGTAAAGAGAGACGAACCAGAATTTTCCGATATTAACACCGAATAGAACTTCTTTGAGTGTAAATAATGAGATTAAGGACGATAGATCAAAGAGATTAGTACTAATATTATTAATACCTAAATAATAATGGTAGTTAGTGATCTCGTGTTTTCAATACATCATCTGCAATTGTGAGCAGAGTCATATAACAATTGTATCCCCACCAAAAGCTCGATCGATTAGCCGGATAACATTATATTCTTTATACAAAGAGTTGTTTGTGGATTATTTTTTTCAAAAACCTTTAATCTAACATAAATCTATTTCTGATTATTCCGATTTGAGATGGTTGAAAGTTTTAATTGAATACGTAATCGCGGTACGAGAACAACCGTTTTGATGCAAAACTCTCAACGAGTCTATGTGCTAATGAGTGCTGTTAAGAACACTTTAATTAAAGTTGTATGGAGAAAGGGATCAAATGCTAAACGGACTTCGTTAACACAATAAGATCAAAAACAAACGATTTTTTTAAAATTATTTATCTGTTTATGAAGTTTGTTTTAGCAAAATAAATACATCAAATATTTCTTGGAAAACGATAATAAACAATCATTATCAGTATTTTATCGACGAAAAGGTCATCTAAACATAATCTCTTTATGAGTATAAAATCTTGAATGTTTTTGTGTTATAATTCAGATTGAATGTCATCATGTTTCGATTAATTTTATTATCCGTTTTATTAAATGTATGTTCAAGTGATAAATGTAACGTTGATTTAAATGGTGTTAAAAAGAAATGGTCGCAAAGAGCTTTAAGTGAACCATTCGAAACGGATGATGCGTTATCAAGTCTTCAAGATGCATATAAAATCACAATTAAAGGTCAAGAAATACCCGTTCTTTGTAAAGGTACTGTAAAAGGTCTTGAGAAGTTATACGAACTTGATATGGATTTTAATGGAATCAAAGAAATTGAAGTGGGAGCGTTTGCTGATGTTGTGCATTTAAGAGATCTTCATTTGAACAAAAATAGATTGAAGCATATTAAAGCTGGTGTTTTCAACGAGTTAGGAATAAGTATTTTAAGACTGGGAGATAATGAAATTGAGTTAATTGATCAAACCGCTTTTGACGATATGCCTAATTTAAGAATAATTCATCTTAATAATAACAAAATATCAGCTATAAACAAGGAGTGGTTCAAGAATACACCAAACGTTCATCAACTTACTTTAGAAAACAATTTAATTACGAGTTTAGTAGAACACAACTTTAAAAACCTTCAGGGTAAACATGTATTTTATGATTTACCCGCTTGGTTAAATATAGATTTGAGTGGTAATAAAATCACAACGATTGATCCTAAAGCTTTCGATGGGTTGGAAGAATTAGGGATATTATCGTTGGATAAAAATGAAATATCTGTATTACACGAAGACACTTTTAAAGATGTAGGACGTATATCGTGGATTAATTTAACATCGAACAAAATTAGATGTCTTCCGCAACATATGAAACATATTTTAAAAGCTGACGCAACATTCTTGGAAAATAATCCTTGGAATTGTACTTGTTTGGAGACTTTACAACAACAATTGAAATGGAGGCGACTTACAAGTAAAGTTAGTATCAGTAGCGATGTTTTAAAATGTAAAATTGATGATTTAAAATCAACGGTGAGAGATGTTTTAGCAGAACACGAATAAAGATTTGAAAAAATATTTTTAATAATTTTTTTATACCATTATATTAATTTGTAACAACAATTGTTTTCACAGGAAGTTTTTTTGATTTAACACGATTTTTGGTGTTATGTAGTTCAATCAATTGTGTAGATGTTATGTTTGCTGGAGACTCTGGAACGAACATGTTTCAGGGATGCAAAAGAATAGATTGCCAAAGATTGTCAAGCATCCAAAAGGACACGAGGTTAACTAGGCGTCCGCTTCACAAGAAATTCAGACAGAATAGTAAGAGTAAAACAAGCCTCTATGGATTCTGCAAAGAAGAAGACATGAAAAGTCTCAGGTTTGGGATATCCTTCTGCAAGACTAAGTATCATGGAATGCGCTGCTTGTAGCCGAACACCTGCACCAATTTCTGTGAAAGATGACGTAATCATTGGAAAAACACCTCGGTTTTCTTTTCATATATGTCTCGTTTTCTTGTAGTACTGCTCTCGTTCATTTACTCTTAAAATCGAAATTAAAGTTATTGCAGTTTATGCTTCAAGGATATATTTGACGAATTCAAACACATGATCTTCCAAATAACTAATTTCATAACCCCCCACAAACCTAAAACAAAGTATAACACTTTACAATGATAAAAACCATAATCATATAAATACCTCATATAAAAAATATCTTTAGCAAATAAAACGCCAATATCCGTTACCTTTTTCCTTGTGGGTTAATTCCTAAGGTTTTTAGCTTAAGTCAATCCGGGTTGGGTTCGGTTAGGTTGGATTGGGGATCAAATTCTAAACGGACTTCATTAACACAATAAGACCAAAAAAAAACGATTTTTTTTAAAATTATTTATCTGTTTATGAAGTTTGTTTTAGCAAAATAAGTGCATTAAATATTTCTTGGAAAACAATAATAAACAATCATAATCAGTATGTTATCAACGAAAAGGTCATCTAAAAATAATTTCTTTACGAGTATAAAATCTTGAATGTTTTTGTGTTATAATTCAGATTGAATGTCATCATGTTTCGATTAATTCTATTATCCGTTTTATTAAATGTATGTTCAAGTGATAAATGTAACGTTGATTTAAATGGTGTTAAAAAGGAATGGTCGCAAAGAGGTTTAAGCAGACCTCTCGAAACGGATGATGCGTTATCAAGTCTTCAAGATGCATATAAAATCACAATTAAAGGTCAAGAAATACCCGTTCTTTGTAAAGGTACTGTAAAAGGTCTTGAGAAGTTATACGAACTTGATATGGATTTTAATGGAATCAAAGAAATTGAAGTGGGAGCCTTTGCTGATGTTGTGAATTTAAGAGATCTTCATTTATATAAAAATAAATTGAAGCATATTAAAGCTGGTGTTTTCAACGAGTTAGGAATAAGTATTTTAAGACTGAGAGATAATGAAATTGAGTTAATTGATCAAACCGCTTTTGACGATATGCCTAATTTAAGAATAATTCATCTTAATAATAACAAAATATCAGCAATAAACAAGGAGTGGTTCAAGAATACACCAAACGTTCAGCTGCTTACTTTAGAAAATAATTTAATTACGAGTTTAGTAGAATACAACTTTAAAAATCTTCATGGTAAACATGTTTTTTATGATGAACCCGCTTGGTTAAATATAGATTTGAGTGGTAATAAAATCGCAACGATTGATCCCAAAGCTTTCGATGGGTTGGAAGAATTAGGGATATTATCGTTGGATAGAAACGAAATATCTGTATTACACGAAGACACTTTTAAAGATTTAAGACGTATAATGTGGGTTACTTTAACATCGAATAAAATTAGATGTCTTCCGCAACATATGACACATGTTTTAAAAGCTGACGCAACATTCTTGGAAAATAATCCTTGGAATTGTACTTGTTTGGAGACTTTACAACAAAAATTGAAATTGAAACGACTTACGAGTAAAGTTAGTATCAATACCGATGTTTTAAAATGTAAAACTGATGATTTAAACTCAGCGGTGAGAAATGATTTAGATGAACACGAATAAAAAATTCAAAAAAAAATTATTAATTGTTTTTTTTTATACCATTATATTAATTTGAAATTGTTTTGATTTTTTTTTTGATTTTACATGATTTTTGCTATTATGTAGTTCAATTAATTGTGTAGATGTTATGTTTGCTGGAGACTCTGGAACATCTTTTAGCCATGCAAAGAAATAGATTGCCAAAGATTGCCAGGGATTGCAGGCCAGCATCTAAAAGGACGTGAAGATAACTAGGCGTGCGCATCACAAGAAATGCAGACAGAATAGTAAGAGTAGAACAAATCTCTATGGATTCTGCAAAGAAGAAGAAGAAGACATGGAAAGTCTTAGGTTTGGGATATCCTTCTGCAAGACATAAGAGCATGTTTGTAAAAAAAATTATTCTTAACGATATTACTCTCTGGCACTTTTACTCTCAGATGAATAGATATTAAGAAAAATACACGAATATGAAAAGTATATGATTTTCGTTGTTTTAAGAACAATTAAAAGAAATGATTCTGTAATCAGAGACTTGGTATGTTTTGAAACAAAACTATAAGATCATTATCATAATGGATACTGTTAAGCACAAAGTGAAAAAAAAACGGTTCTGCTAATATAAATATAGGTATGGTACAAAAAAGAATGCCAGTAGATGAAAATAGATTCTGGAAATCAACTCTCAACTAACCAAAGAAAGAGATTAAGATTTCAAAGTTGAATGATGGATGACATTAGAAGACATGCTTTGCATAATATAATGCTGATGAAAAGGCGGTAAAACCGTCTCTCAAGACCTTGTTAAGGTTATGGAAGATTGATTTATTGATAAACGATATACACCTGACAATGTATGGAATGCAAATGACCACCTTCATCTGCAAACGAATACCGAGCAAAACGTACTTAGCCAAATCGCAGACAACTGCTGGTGGTTTTAAGGTTTCAAAACAAGCTATGCCAGTATTATTTTGATCCAATGCTTCGGAAGATTAAAACGCATCAGTAAACGGAACCCTAAGTCCACGTTCAAAGAAGGTAGTATAGAAACTACCTGTTCACTGGATAGCAAATAAGAAAATCTAGGTGTCATCTTTACAGAATGTTACAACAAATGTTTTGTCCAAAATGTCAGAAGTCATGAAAAGTCGTTCAAAACATTCCAGCATGTTTTGACCAAAATGAACGTCGAAACATCATCATTGTTGTAGAAGTCAAATGCATATATAGCAACTTTTATTAAAATAAACATCTTTTATTAATACTTTTTTACACTCATTCTTCAAGAGTGTAGCTATCGTGTAAAAACAGAATTAGATGTAGCTAATAAATGGAGAAATCAAACAAATAAAGAAAATAGTAGGGGAAATGATGGTTTTATCGATTTTTTGTGTTTGATTTAGTTTTTTACGTGTGTTTGGTTGGTTTGAAACGATTGTACACTACTGGGTAGCAGTACGACGGTCGTAAATTTATTGTGTAAATTAAACGATAAAACGAAAGCGCACTTTAAAGTGGCTGTAAATCCCGAATTTGTAATTACACCTCTGCGAGATTAACAGAAAAGGACTGATTTACAGAGCTACCTTCGCCACGTACAGCTTCAATTAAGAGTTCATGGCGGGTTCCCGAACTTTTCGTGATTCATAAATTTTCAAATTCTCTTTACTAATATTTCGGTCGTATCGCTTATCTAAATTTTTGGCGTTTCACTCAGATTTAATGTTTTATAAACACAGTTGTGGGTTTGATAGTTTTTGCTCTTTGTGTTACAAGTCCATAATGTCAATTCGGAAAGTTGCTGTCTACAATGTCTAGTGCATTATGCATGAAACTTGCTAACAGGCACTGCCTTTCAGTTGCTAAGCAACGGGATCAGTTGCATGTCTGATGCACATTTGATGGGAGAATGGACCCTCGAAAAGGATGAAGGAGGGTGTGCTAAACTAAATTAGTTATATGTATAGGGGGAGAACGAGGGCGATAACTTCCCCTTTCTCATTCTGGTATTTTGTTTGAATTGCGAAAGGCCTTTTCTCACGTCTCACAGAAAAGGCGATCAATACTGGTTTCTTCAAAAAAAAATGTTATGTGGTTGATTTTCTAGTATGTATTAAAATTGTATTGTTTAAATATTACCACACAAATATATTTATGAAAGGATATATCAATAAAGAGTTTTCAAGGCGAGCTTCGACGTTGGATAATATTTTTCGGGGCCAGCCTATGCGTATAAAACTTTGATAACCCCATAAAATATAATAAGGCTTGCCGAAAGGTATAAACTTTATTATGTAACCATAAAAAGAGGCGATGGTGTACTAAACAAAAATAGGCAAAATGGCTGGTATTCATAGATTACATTTCCTTATCAGGAGTTTCATAAATAAAATTAATCTTCAATTTATAAACTTTAAGAAGATTCCTCTGAAGCTTTAACACGTCCCAAAGCGATACTTAATTATTCCGGAATTCCTCGTACAAATAGCTCGCGCTTATGCTTTCATAGTAATTAAAGCTAAGCTCGGGTGCAATCTAATCTCAATTCCGAAGATAAAGCTGACTTACGGTCGTAAGGCGTCTCATCAGCGGGGACTTTATTAATCCTGTGAAATTCGCGGAGGACAAACGTTCGCGTGGCGCATAATTAGGGAGTTGGATCGAAAATCGATGTTACCCGTCCTCGACAAGAACCCCTCGTTCAATTCGGGGTCCCCCTTTTCCAACTGATGACGTCACCACCACCAGCGAAGCCGCTCTGGGAACAACCCCTCCGTTATTGCCCGCCAGAATCGGGATTCCCTACGATAAAAGTTACCCTCCCTGTTGTGCCACAATTTGTGCAAAAGTTCAATAATTGCTTCTCGGACTCTCTCAAATATTGAAATAAACCGGGTCTAGAGAGTGCGCCACCGACCGTGATAGGGTTAAGTAACTTTGCTAATTTGTTTTAACCTTCTTTGATAGGGCAGTTTCGGATCTGTTCTCCCTCGTTTTCGTGAGTTCCCTAATTG